TTTGAGGGAAGTCAGTATGCTATACCTAGATCATTCTGAAACTTTATTTTAAGCAAAAGTTTGTTATATTTATTATTTTTTTATATTTTTTTCAGATTTTTGCTTTAGTTTTTTACTCAAAATATGGTTTTTAATGGCTGTGTAACAGCTAGGTGTTGAATGGATGTGTAACCGCTCAGTGTTAAACTAGGAAAATTTAGCGAGTTTAGCAGAATAAAATCTACGTCTTTTCGAATTACTTTCACTTGTTCATTAAACAAAAATATATTTGCTACCTGAAATGCTAACTTTTATTGTTCTAGGTCACAGTTTAAAGTAGTAGTTGCATATAAATGCAGTATGACCAATAGAAACATTTATTCTTCGGTTAGCCGGAGTTTAAGCTTTTTTGTTTATATTTTTTTGTTATTTTAAGTTTTTCATTCTAAAATATATAATTTCGTATATTGTTTAAAATCAATCATACTATATTGTTTTAAATCAATTTCACTATTTGAATATAGCCTTTTTAATTATACTTTCTACTTAAATAAATACTCAGTAAACCAGTTGAACGTTTTTGATTTCTTCCATAAAACAAATTATTCAACAACAAACCATGAGCAATTGAGGAAAATATTTTCGACAAATCTAGGAGCTCAACACTGACTCGTTGTTTATATTACTTTTAATATTGTAGCATAATAGTGCGGTAGTCAACATTGTAGAACAAAAGTTTCAAAAACCGAGTTCAGAGTCTGAAAAAGCATTTCTTTCTTTCTAAAAAACCAAGTAGGCGATTTTTGTTAACACAAAATATCCGGAATTTCTAAGTTGTTTGCGTACTTATATCTTGTATATTAAAAATAATAATACCGGCTTTATTAGACTAGTTAGTAACAAAGTGTTTTTACTTTATTACTTTTAAATAGTAATGCATAAGAATTGTTATCTTTAGGATAATTAAAAAATACATTATTGTACAAAAAATTACGAACAGTTTTTTTTTTAAAAAAAAATAACATTAAATAAAATTTTAAATAACATAAAAATTAAATAACAGTAAAAAAAAACTCTAATCAATTATCCCTAATATATTTTGATACATTTTTATGCTTGCTATTACGTTTGATATTATGCGTTTTTTTGTTGTTGACATAAAAACATATTTACGGCCTTGGTAAAGTGTATTGCAATGTTTGAGTTTTGAACAAAACAGTTACAGGCGTTACAACTCAAGTTACAGTTACAGCTCAAACCACGTCTTTGAGTGGCTAAGCAAAGGGAAATGGGCGTAATGTACGGAAAATATAAAAAATTATGCGGTTTTCGGATAATTTATTATATTTTAATGTTTATGTTTAAATACTCAAAACCTCATTCCAGTTTATTATAAATACTATCGTATTTAAATAACACAATTTAAATAAAGAATTAAAAACAACAATTTCAATATAGTTAATGACTTGTTATTATTTAGAATCTAAATCACAAAAATAACTAAAAAACAAACAAAAAGTTGGGCAGGCTTGAACACGATGACTAAATGCTGCCCTAGCCACTACCCTCAACCAATGTATGGACATTTCGTTGTGTCAATCCCTTTGTTCATGTATATATTATTTGCTTTTTAATAACCTCTATCGTTTAATTAATTTTATTAATTAACTTTAGTCGATCAGTAAAATATTATTATTGATAAAATGTGTTTGAAATTGAAAGGAAGTGTGTTGTTTACAAAATTCTTTTATGGTGTTATGAACAAACAATTTTTAAAAATACGTCTGATATTATAGCACTATATAACATGTTCAAGTTATTAAAATATGTCAAATCTTATCAGAAATATATTGCAAAGTGAATTCCTGCATGCCTTTTTTTTTCTTAATTTTGTAAATAATGAGGAAAAATATATAGTCACTGCAAACAATAATCAAGTGATAAATTTAGAAAACCTCTGTCTATAGTTTTTATATAATTTCCATTAGTTATATAGTTGGCATTCATATAGTTGGCATTCGGTGACAAACATTTTTAACAATTAATTGAATTATGAAATTTCTAGTTCTAGTCAAACTTTTTCTAAACTTATAAATGTTTTTTCAATGTAATGTTAAAACATTGTTTTAATATTACATTGAAAAACTATTCGCACATAGCATAAATATAATCATTCTTCTAACTTCACTAACTTATAACACATATGCTCAATTAAAGTTTCTATATAAGCTATATCTCTAGTAATAAAACTTCATTCTGTGTCTGTATTAACCATTCGTTTTTTAGAGCTTTATATCTAAAATCAAGTAAAAACTGTATGGTAATGTTTAATTTCTAAGAAGTAGTTAAAAATAACTCAAAGAATTTAAAAGTAGTTGCCATATTTTTTTTTACAATAGCTATTTGTCTTTTCTTAAAAAAAGTAAATGATTTCATTGATATTACAAAAGTGGCAACTTTTGAATTAGTTTTAAGAGCAAGTATTGTTTTATTACCAAACATTTTTAAACTGTAAAAATTTATGGTTTGTAATTAGGTTTGTAAATAGGTTTTTGGATGTATGGCTACAAGATTTATCCTCAAATTTCTTAAAATCAAAGGTTACTCTTTATTATAGCAGCAAAATTAATGACATTGCATACTTGCTCAAACAAATGGTTTAAATTCTGCTTTTAAAAACAGAGGAAAACTGGAGTAAAAAAGAATAGATTTTACACAGAGTTCACTCACTAGTATAATACTACCTCTCTTGTTTTTCTTCACTTGAATATATACTGTTAATAAAATAATATTTAATAGCAGTTAAATAAAATTAGTACTTAATTAACACTTTTTTTTGTTGTGGATGTAGTTTTTCAGTTTTTTTTAGTCTTACAGTTTAGAATCTTAATGTAACTGATTGTGCAAGCTTTAAAATATTAAAAAAAACAAAATTTGACAGTTGTTTCTATATCATAGATTTTTTACCTAACTCTGATGTATTTATAAGTATAATATGATCTAGTAGTATCAATTTTTGATATACAATGTTGTTTAGATACCAATCTGTTTCTTTAACTCTTGACCAACAATAAGATATGTAATATGATTTTTAAATAGTGAGAAAATTAGGCAACAAATACTAGCATGAAAACTTAAATTTCCTTAAGATATGAATGGCACGAGTATACAGTTTACATAAAATCTAGATATCCAGTTAAGATATAATGCATTCAATCGGATTTGTAAAACTTCATTTATAACATAAATTATTACAAAACAAACAAACTTAAGATAAAAACTTAAACTTAACTTTTAGTTTCTTAATTAGGTGTTTTAATTTTAGTGTGAAAATATTCTATACATCCAGAAATAAAGCATTTTTTAAACAATTTATTGCAACAATCAACAGCTTTCAAATGTAACTCTTAAAGGGCTGGAGTAAAATTTACTTTTACTTTTCTGTAAAATGCCTTCAGTTGTTTAAAATCTAATTACAGTTGATAGGTCACCATTCATAATTGAAAGGCCAGCATTTGTTTGGCTTAGGCTATAAGTATTACCATACAGTTAGAAATGCATACATTCTTAATGTAATCTTCTAATAAAACATTTGGTGGTTTAAGTGAAATTTTTTAAATAAGTTTGTGTTCTATTGTAGCTTAGTAAGGTTGTGTATACCATTATTATTATTATTATTATTATTATTATTATTATTATTATTATTATTATATATTTTTATTTAAACTCAATTACAGTTGAACAACTTTGCCTTTAAAATTACGATTACTTTTACAATTTATAAAATAAATTCAGAAAAAGTTTTTTTTTTTTTTTTTTTTTTTTTTTGTTCTTTTGTTTCCGGTTCCTCTTCCACTGCTTGAGTAGCATATGCCAATGGCATAGCAAGATGGATATATTAGAAGCCAACTTTGTTGAATATGTTGGCCCCTATAATATGAAAGCCTTTACTTCCTTGTCGATTCGCCGCTTTTTTGACAATAAGGTTTGAGTCCTCGTTCATTTTAAACATATTAGCCAAAGATGGATGGCACACTCCCGACAATGCCGACATTACTATTTTTGTTGCATGAACCTTTCTTCGCTCCCCCAAGGTGTCAAACTTTAGTTCTTCCAAAAGGGGAGCTGAATGAGTGTTTCTAGGTTTGTGACATACAATTTTTGTCAATACAATTTTTTGAGTATTTTTGAAGTTTATTGAAGCATTTTTAAATTTTAAGTAGAAAAAACAAATATAAAGTAGAAGAAACAAACAGTTGGAATAAAGTATAGTATTTAAATCCATTTTTTTGGGAAAGCCTAATACTTTACTACTCACTCATTAAAAAAGTCAGCAAAAAAACTTGAAAAAAAAAAATTAAGAAGTTAATGCATTAGAATACTAAGGAATAATAAAGAGAACAAATTCAAATAATAAGGAGAACAAATTAAATTATAATATAACTTTTTTCTCCTGTAAAGAGAAATAAATAATAGTTGATTTGATGATCATTTAGAGTAAAGCAAATTACAAATAGTGAGTGAATAGAATACATATGTAAATATGATAGTGTTACATTTATATCATTAAGTTTATTTGTAAATATAAGAGTTATATTTATATCCTTAAGTTTTATATGTAAGTATGACAGTGTTGTATTTATATCAATAATTAAATTGGATCTACTTCATATTAAAGTGGATTCAAACATATAGACAATTTGTAAAATAAACATAACTATATGTTTATCTAAGTTTATATTTTTTATTTGTATAAAACATAGACTTTATTAAAGAAACATTTAATTTATTGATAAATAATATAACCTAATAAAGAAATTGAAAATGTTTCTTTTTTTTTTCTAATGTTTTGCTTTGCTCTAGAGTTTTTTTTCTTCATTTTTTTTTTTCATCTTTTTTGGAAATTGAATTGGTCAATTATTTTTCATTTTTTTTCTTCATTTTTTTTTCCTTTTTTTTTGGAAATTAAATTGGTCAATTATTTTTCTTTTTTTTTCTTCATTTTTTTTTTTCATCTTTAGGTGATGTTAAAAGTAGTTGCCGAATTACAAACATTATTAGTGGTTATTATTTAAAGTCTGGAATAAATCAACCAAACATTAAAAAATTAGGGGAATCTGACAATTTAGCTCTTTGCAAAAAGCTCTCTTGTAAAGAGGATATATATGACTTTGGCTTGTTTGATGGTAAACAATGCTATGGTATTCTATGTCTCCACAATACTGACAAAAGATGTATGCTTAAAAGAGATGGAAATGCAGATTACACAATTTTTAAAATACATGCTCAGTCATCACCAAAAAGAAAAAAGCATGATAAATGTAAGTAATAAAAATACTTTTTGTATGGGTTGACACTAAGTGTGCATATTCATCTGCTTTGGGTCAATGAACTCATTAAAACATTAAACTGCGTAAACAAAAATGCTAATTTTAAATAGTTGCAAGAATTAAAATGCATGCATACTAAACATGCATACCCAGATATAACATATGCATGTCAAGCATGTCCAGTAATAAATGCTAGCAGTTTACATATCTTCAACAAGCTTTGAAGTAGCATATAGTAGTGCTGAAGTTGCAATCTGTACTAAAGTTATCAAATGCTAAAATTAGTGTAATTTTTGTATTTATATATTTTTAGTTTTAAATTTAGAATCCATTTGAAATTAAAACAACTAATTCATATGAAGTTTTGTTTTTTAAAATTCGTGAACTTGTTTCTTTTATTTGTTTGAAATTTTTATAACTTTTATTCTTCTTCTTTATCAGGCTTGGTTTGGAAGAAATTACTTTTACAGGCTTGGTCATGTTTAGCAAACAACTAAAAAAGTTTATAAATAATTTCTTAATTTGATTATAAATATTTAATTTTAATTTAACAACTTCATCTTTATTCAATCCCAATTTACTTTAAACATATTTGTAAGCAATCCACTCTTAACATAATTGTACTTGTTACATAATTGTAAGCAATCTACTTTTAACATAATTAAGAACTTGGTATGAAATAGTAAAGTTTTGGTTTTACTGCAAAAATACAAATAGAGCCTTATAAAATGTTTAAAATGCTGCCAAGAAACAATTAAAAAAAAGGTAACGTTACTAAAGTTTGCTATTACAAATAAATCAGTATTACTAATATTGTTATTATAAAATAGGGGAAACTAAAGTAAAATAGGGTATTAGGGTAAAGTAGGGTTTTGCAAATACAGAGCCTTAAAAATGATAGCAAATGATTGGATTTGAAGTAATTCAATACGAGACAAGGCCATTTTGAACTATAGTTCACTTTTTTTGCATCATTATTGTTACAAGGTAAATACAAATTTATGCATGTTTTTCTTCAAATTTTTTTAAAAAACTTGAATTTAATAATTAAAGCTTTGAACTAAAACTTTTATATCTGAATAATATCTAGTTACCGACAAATTTAATTTAACAATAAAATCTATTTTGATTATAATACTAGCTAGTACTACTACTTGCATATTATTTAAGACTTAAGACCTAAGCTTAGCTTTAAATTATATTTAGCTTATAAATTGTTATTAGTTTAAAACTATGGTTTTATTAATTTGATATATGATTTAATGCAAAACGGACACCAACAAAACAACCATTTTAATGTCCTTACCTTACAAAAAGGCATTACTGAAGGCCAAGGAGAGAAAACAACTACAGCCCAAAATAAACAAATAAAGACACAGCATGCCTTTATAGCAAGAAGCTCTATTCCTTGAGTACTAAAAATTGAGTTTTTTAGTAGTGAATGCCATAGATGGGCTAACTATTTCTGTTTGGGAATCAAGGAAAAAAAGGAAAATCCAAATTTTGTGTGTGAGCTATGCATAAACAGTGAATAATTATGTTTTTACAAGAGTTCTCCCCATGACCCCATTTTGCCCCAAGCATGGGGGAAAATGGGGTCATGGGGAGAAAAAATTTACATTCTATGGTGTTCTTGCCTTGTTACAGTGTTGTCAATATTGTATTCATTTGTTTTCAAGTAAATTTGTAATGATTTTGATATTTTTTTTTACTTTAGAAGTTTTTTTAAAGTGCATTTTACCCCAGTTTCACGTATAAATATCTGTTATAAAATATGTATGAATATTTTAATTAGTTTACTTAAATTTTTTTTAATAAATCTTATAAATTTTAGCATTCAAAATAAAAATTTAAATGTGTTTGATTGAGACATTTAAACAATTGTAGAATTCTGAACATTTTTCAAATTTAATTTCAAGTATAGAATAGTTAATAGAGTTTAATAATAATAATGTAGTTATGTTTTTAAATAGAAAAGAAATATATACCTTTAAATAATATTACGTATAAATTACATATAAAATCGATTACAAATAATACAAAGGTTTTTTAAAATTTGGCATAATTTAATTTTGTAAAAAGAACATGTCAACATCATTGTTATAAACTTTTTAAAAATTTTCATATGTATATACACAATATGTAACATAACAATGTTTCTGCAGCATATTTTCTATATATTTGGTATGTTATTATTTGAAACTAAATTACCATATTCCTTTTAAACTAAATTACGGTATACGATTAGTAGAAAAATTTTTATAAATATTTTTAATTTTTTTAGATCATAGTACAAAGAAAAGTGGTTATCAAATAAGTAATAATTCACAGCAAATAACATTGAAAAATAAATTTGTAGGGAATAGAACATTAGTTAATCAATCACATAGGACTATTAATGTGCATAAAGAAAATAAACAACTTCATAGGAAACATAAAAAAAGGAGAGAAAAACGAAAAGCGCAAATAGATGCTGATAAACATGCTGTGTTCCAGAATATGTTTTTATACAACAATCAAACTGAACTTTTAACTAAAAAACAATTAACAAAGAAACCATATTTTTCTACTCTCACTTCACTTAACCCTAATTTTAAACTAGTCTCTTATTCAAAACCGTTTAATGTTTATGGTTTTTCTACAAATCAACAAACCCCACCAAAAAAGTTATTAGCTGTTAATCCTAATTCGAATGAAGTTTCTTATTCAATGCCAAGTTTTGTTTCAAAAGAAGTACTATCTGAAAATCCTGCTTTAATAAATTCTTACATTCACCCAGGAACATTATCAAATGGGGAAAAAATGTTGTATTCGTTTACTTTTCCACCCCTCACAAATAACTACAATAAAGATTTATCCACAGCTAATTTTGTTATACAAGAAAGTCTATCCAACTCAAGTAATCTTCTGGGAGAAAGTAATGTAAATAAAAGGATGAATATTGATTCAGCTGCATTTTCTAGTTTTAATAAAGATCAGCATCAATCATTTCTGAATAATTTAACAAAATCAAATAATCTTTCAGAAAAAAAAGATAGTCTTGTAATGCTACCAGTGCAAAATGAAATAGTACAAAAAGCAGTTCAATCCAGTAATTATGGTAGCCAAAATTTTGATAACAGAAAAGGAATAATATCAGATGTGCAGCCTTTGAGAGATTTTCCTACTGATACAGATTTAGCAGTTGAAGAAAAAGATATTATCCCCAGTCCTGATGAGCTTAGAAAATTAGATGATCAAACCATGACTGCAAAAGATAGTGTTATTGATATTCCGTTTTCTTCTAAGAATCAACTACAAGATTTACCAGTTCTACAGAAAGGTTTGTTTAACGGTTCAAAACATACGCAAGCACAAACATCAAATGCAACACTCACACGTCTACATACACCAAAAAAAACTTATCAAGTTCTTCTTCAGCAACGTAAGATCACAGGGCACTCATTATACCATCATATTCCTTCTATATCTCATACAGAAGAAAGTGTTGTTAGTGATACTGATAAAAAAGAACCAAAGTTTATTACAGAAAATTCAAATGTAAAATCTACCATCTTAAAAAATTCAAATGTAAAATCTAACTTAAAAAGTAGGTTTAGTAGTATTAACAATCGTGATATGGTTCCCAGACCATCAGAAAATGTTGAAAAGCTGATTCCTGAAAATTTTCAAAAATCAGAAATCCAAAGGCTGTTAGGTCCTTTAGATTCTTTTAGTTTTCCAAATAATTTGCCTATATATAATCCTAGTAATTCATCAATTTTAAATTTTGGAAACATACATAATGTGACATCTGATACAGATGACACTGATGAATACATGATGCTTGATGCTCAACATTTAGGATTTCAAACTGCAGCATCAAATGATCATAGTAAAAATTATGACATTTTAAATTCAGGTAACAGTTCGCAAATCTTAAATGTGATTTACTTAATCATATTACTAGTATCTAAAACGTTAAAAAGTTTATTGACATAAAAGCTATTTCACATAAATTTATTTATTTTTAGTTTTAGTAGATAAACAAAATCTTCTAGGTAATTTAAAACTTTTTTTGTTAATAAAAAATACAAAGTTAAGGAAACAAGAAACGCTTCAACAAATTACTTTTAAAACTGTCTGACATTAATAACAACAACATATCGTTACAAAGTCACTGTACCTTTTATTGTTATGCAAACACAAAAAGGTGTTTACAACAGAGTGTATACTATTAACGTTAAATTTCAATTTACATTACAATATGTTTACAACAGGGTGTATACTGTGAACATTTAATTTCAAATTACATTACAATATACAATTTGAACATTAATTTCTGTACATATCAGTTACTTATCATTTAACAAGATTACTAACAACGCTGTCTTCTGATAATATGACTGACTCAAACTATTGATAAAAAGAATAGATTTTTATAAAATGTTTCATAAAAGTGAGATGAATCTTTTATGCACTTATTAATTCTTTAATAAATTTAAAAAATGTGACGTTTTTTTAAAAAAATACAGGCTGTGTAAATCCAATTGGAATAAGTCAACCTGCTTTAATTAAAGACTTCCAGTTTAGTGCATCATCTTCTATGGAAAATTTTCCACCTTCAAAAGCAAGATTGTTACTGAAAGAAAATGGAGAGGGTACATTTTTAACTTTTTTTTTTTTAAAGTTTTTACAAGATAATTTTAAAAGGTTGTTTACCTTTTTATTTTAATAGGAGAAAAAGAATTTCCTAATTTATTTTAAAATAGTCATATAATTATAATAATTAATGATTATGCTTAATTTAAAACAAAAAGTTTGGATTTTTTAGAATATTCAGGGTCATGGTGTTCTTCAGCGAATAGTAAAATGGAAAGTATGCAGCCATTTTTACAAGTTGATTTAGGAAAGCGCACAATGTTCTGCAGACTTGCAATTCAAGGGGATGACAATGTCAGAAAATGGGTGAAAAAGTTCAAAGTAGATTACAGTGATGATGGTGTCAAATGGGATCCATACAGTGAGGAGGGTGTAGCAAAGGTGAGGAGGGTGTAGCAAAGGTTATTTTTTTGCAAAAGCTGTATATGTTTAGTTTAAACTGATAACTTTCAATTATTAATAACTAAATTTATATAATTTGAAAAAATTCAACAATTTTTAAATCTGCTTGTTTGAAGAGAAATAATTGTAAATCATTTAAAATTATTCAATATTAGTTTGTAAAATAATCCATATGGTTATATAGTAAAAAAAAATGTTAACATTATATATAACATTATTAATGTTTTTTTTAATACTTCAAAATTGCTAACATTAGTGCTAATGAATTATTATAACACTTTATTAGATATTTATGGGTAATGAAGATGAGAAAGATATAACATTTCGAACACTTAAAAATCCTGTTGTTGCACGATATGTTAGGTTTAAACCTATACAATGGGAAGGTGACTCTCCTTGCATGAGAGTCGAGATGTTTAATGCTGGAATGCAAGGTTAATAATAATTTATACTTAAACTATACTTGTACGATAACTTATAGTTTTTAAATCTTTTGTATGTGTGATATTTAAATATTTTTTTGTATGTGTGATATTTGATATTTGATATGAATGCTATTTGTACCAAACATTTGTGTCAAAGTTTAGCACAAACACCTATAATGATACTACAAAATTTTAAATATTTTTTTTATATATTTGTTAAATAAGCTATATATTTGAAATAGTTATTGTGAGCTTGAGTACATACATCAACTGACTATAGTTAGCATATCAAAAATCAATTAGTATACAAATACATTAGTATATGCCAACCTTAATACAGAGTAGGAATATATATATATATATATATATATTCCTACTATATATATATATATTTGTACTTGGTAAAATCATCATAATTGGTATGATGATTTTGACAAAACAATAAATGTGTTCTTCATCAGATGTATTTAAACGTGTTCTTCATTAGATGTATTTAAACGTGTTCTTCATCAGATGTATTTAAACGTGTTCTTCATCAGATGTATTTAAACGTGTTCTTCATCAGATGTATTTAAACGTGTTCTTCATCAGATGTATTTAAACATGTTCTTCATCAGATTAGTGATAAATTGCTCTACTTCTGATTTTAATTGTGAATTTTTTTTATGACAAAGAATTTTTTTTCTTAATCTCTCGAAGTTGTTGTCTTTTAACACTAGGACCTGATTTTAAATCTTTATCACTTTCTGATTCTGACATAAATAAACTAAAATAGACTCAGATAAGTAAACATAAATAAACTCAGATAGATAAATAAACATAACTAAACTCAGATAGATAAGTTTACTAGAATAAAAAAAATAATAAGCCAGTGGTCAGTGGCTCTATGTTATTTGCTGTAACAAACATGGCACTGTTGTAAAATTAGTCAACCACCCTGTAAAGTTGATGATGAGATAAGTCAAAGTTGCAACAGGAGTGAAATTAAAAGTTAGGTCAATCACTGTGGGTTCCATGCAAGGAAAATTTAAAGAGAAAACAGTTATACTACTACTACTACTACTACTACTACTACTACTACTACTACTACTACTACTACTACTACTACTACTACTACTACTGCTGCTGCTGCTGCTGCTACTGCTAGAGCTACTGCTACTGCTAATAATGATAGTAATTATTTATGATATTTTTTTTTGTAAAAATGTTATTTTTAGACCATAATTGTCATTTTCCCTAGACTTTACTATAGTAAAATCTATCTTGTCATTTTTCCTTGTGAACTTTGTTTCATCACTCAGAATGTCGTTTTATCATTTAAACTTATCTTTTTACTTTGTGAATGGCGCTTTAAATAATATTTTACTTTTAGATTTTTGATTAATATTTTGGGTTAGCATTACAATTGCCCACCTAAACCAAAACCCTCAGTTGATATATAAACACTCAGCACATGTTTTAACTATTTAAGTCAGTCCATGTATGGATACTCCTTACATGTTCTACCTATTTAGATCAGTCAATGTATGCACACTCCTCACATGTTCTTTTTATTTAAGTAAGTTGATGTAAGTAAAAAAAAACAAAAACCAAAGCAAAAAAAAAGACTAGGAAATAAAACAATAAAAATTAATAAAGCAAATATCGTATCGGACTGGGCACCAGTCTCCAGCGGTGTTTCTCAAGGGTCGGTATTGGGACCACTACTCTTCGTTATCTTTATAAATGACTTGCCAAATATAATTAGTTCAATCTGTAAAATATTTGCTGATGATACTAAACTGCTTGCCCCAATTCAACTTAATGAAGAGCAGAATGATTGTGCTGTGCTCCAAAATAATATTGATGCTATATCGGAGAGGTCAAGAACATGGCTTATGAAGCTAAACATCTCCAAATGCAAAATTCTTCACATTGGTCGCTTGAACAAAAACCATACCTATACAATGCTCGATGTCGATAAGTTGATTCGACTTAATTTGGAATCTAGCTAGATATTATTAGAACGTGACTTAAGCATCATAATTAGCTATAACCTCAAACAAAACACCCAGGTTTGCACTGCTATTTCTAAAGCAAACAAGATGCTTGGGATGCTTAAAAAGACATTTGTTTCCCGCAATGTAGAACTTTGGAAAAAATTATACATAGTGTACGTGCGTCCTCATCTTGAGTTCTTTGCTTCAAGTTGGAACCCACATACGATTAGGGATATATATGTATTGGAGAGAGTCCAAAGACGCGCTACTAAGAAAGCCCACAATATAAAGCATCTACCTTATGAAAATAGATTAGACATTTTAGACTTGACCACCCTTGAAGAAAGGCATCACCATAGTGACTTAATTCAACTTTTTAAAATTGAATCTGTAAAAGAAATAGTTAACACGCACCACACCCTGATCCATTCTGCGCCATGCTATGGACATAGAAGTCGACTGATCAAGGAGATAGAATTAATAACAATAGTTAACACGCACCACACCCTGATCCATTCTGCGCCATGCCATGGACATAGAAGTCGACTGATCAAGGAGTTAGAATTAATAACAATAGAAGCAACTTTTTTACAAACAGAGTTGTTAACAGCTGGAATAGCCTACCGGACGAGATTGTTAATGCTGGAAGCCTAAACGCATTCAAAAACCAGTTGGACAGGTTCCAACAAAACCGCCACAGTGCCATAAAGGCGCTCTATGCAACACGATAAAGTTGCATTGTGGTCATCATACTAACTAACTAACTAACTAAATAAGTGAAAAATTGTGTAAACAAACACTTATTGCTTTGTTATTCAAATTGCGATTTTTTAAGTAAAATAAATTTTTATTATTAAAAAATTCAACTATTTACTTAAAATGCAATTGTATTAGTAGTTAATTGTTGTTGTCAATGACAATAAAAATTCTGCTTATTGATAAGAATAATATTATTGTAATAATAATAATAATAATAATAATAGCAATAATAACAATAATGATAATAAATAGTTAAGATTAAATGTAGTATTTTCGTTTTTATTTTTTATTTTTTTGAACTCTAAATTATTTATACCTTTAAGGACTTGAAAACTCAGTTTTGCGATCTACCATCCCTTCTGTTCATTTTGGACTCGTAGTAGATCTTGATTTTGAAAAAATGGATGAACTTATAGCACTAGATAAATCATCATTTGGAAACAATGGATTTTTACATGGTGGTGCAAAAATATTTGACACTCACAGCTCATGTAGACATGCGGTGCAAATTCCAATAGGCTCTGATATTGTCATTGATGGAAGTGTGATGAAAGTTCATCCACGTAAAGCTATTTCTATTGCTCTTTGGATACAGTTAAATCGTGTTGATGGTGTTCATTCAATTTTTGATACAGTTGGCAGAAACTCAAAGCACAATTTAGGGCAGTTTCATTTTGAAATTGTTGGCGGTGATGTCAGATGGTTTCACAGAAATGAAACTGAAAGTGAAATTTTTAACTTAATTACAGGTAGGTGCTATATACATTATTTCTTAGTATTCAATAAAGAGGTTTTTCTAGAATAAGTTAAATATTTTAATGGATAATTCCATCATTTTTACCTATATTTTCATTTATCCAGAAACAATTATATTATTTAAAAGTTACCCTTATATCTTAAATTTAAAACTTTTTTTTTCATTTAGTTTTAAATTTTGTAGATTTATTTTTACTTTAGCTTCCCTAAAATTTGCATTAAAGGGTCTTCTTTTTTTGATTGTATAAGTTTAAAAAATATGAATAAGTCTAGAATTTCATTTTGACATAATGACTGTCGACCTCCATTTTTGGGTTTATTAAATGAATTTTAATTAACTCTCAAACTAGTGCAAAGTTTTTAAAAAGTGGCGTTATATAATAGATGATATATATATATATATATATATATATATATATATATGTATATATATATATATATATATATATATATATATATATATATATATATATATATATATATATATATATATATATATATATATATATATATATATATATGTATATATATATATATATATATATATATATATATATATATATATATATATATATATATATATATATATATATATATATATATATATATGTATATATATATAAATAGATAGATAGATAGATAGATAGATATCTATATATATATATATATATCATAAATTTAAAACTTTAAATGAAATAATGGGCTATTTTTATTAGAACAAAAACTTATAAAGTCACATGAATGGAATCATATTGCTGCAACTTATGATTCAAAGACTGGTGCTACAATTATATATATCAATGGTACTGAACAGGTTCGTGGTAAGGGACAGGGGTTAATCTCAAAGGACTGGTCTGAACATGTTGGAATTGGGCAACATAAAGGTGTTAGGTTTTTGGATGGACAAATTGATGAATTTAAAATTTATGATTCAGCAATCACTGCTGAACATGTTGATGAATTAGCATCTAAATGTGACTTTTCCAGATATTGTAAGGAGATCATCTAATTTTTTTTTTCTAAATTTGTAGAAATGATAAAAATAAGAAATTTTTTAATATGTAATAATATTTATTAAAGATTGCGGGCAAACATTAACTGAAGAAACTGGATCAATATTTAGTCCCTCTTATCCAGATACTCAAAATGGTCCTGTTGAATGTATATGGAATATACAAGGTGATATAGGAGAGACTGTTTCACTAGACATGTCTCAATTTAAACTTGGTTACAAAAGTGATTGTGGGAAAGGAAACTTAGAAGTTAGAGACAAAAATTCAGTAATTGGTGTTTATTGTGGAGCATCTATTACTCCACGGAAGATATTGTCTCATTCCAATCAATTAACTATAAAGTATTCTACAGATGGCGCATTTAAGGGTGAAAAGTTCAGAATTGATTTTAAAGGTAAAGTTTTTCTTTGATTTTTAAAATTTATTTTGAAATTAAATAGAAATTTATACCAAAAAAGCGAAGGAAATTTATTTCTAAATTAATTCAAGTCATATTGTATTAGATGAAAGCGTATGTGAGCTTCAGCAGATGGCTGTTTTAAGTTGATGAATGTTTAAATAGGCAAATCTAAAGCTGTTGTCATTTGTGTTTCTAAAGTTTTATCTCAGATGTTAGGTTTTAGAGACTTTTGGAAAACTTTTAACAGTGTCATTAATAAAAGCAAGTCTTATATATCATGTTTCATACATGGGGGTCTGATCCTATTACCTCACCAAAAAATAAAGTAGTACTATTTGCAAAGAACCTTTTTTGCTAATTTTTCTCTTAACCTAATGACCTTATTCTTTGTTTCATGCCAGAGAAACAGGCTAATCCATTGTTAGTCATCAGAACCACTCCAGCTTTTGTAGCTAAAGTTATTTCCTGACATATAGAATACTTTTTCTTTCCTTATGGTGCTTCTATAAAAGTTTTTTAAAATTATTGAATCAGTTTTGCAGTTTTATTTGATAAATAACTTTCTTTTTTGGAACAACAAGGTTGAATTTTGTATTTATCCTTATACAGAATATTGCTGTCATATATAGGATGGTTCTTATAATGATGCAAGCTTTTGATGTTTAAATGGTAATTTAAAAAAAAAAAAATTTTAAAGATCAAGAGAGCTATTGGAAGCTATTTGAAAAGAATTTTTTCAGTTAAGTCTTTTTTTTTTTAATTTTAAAAATCTATTTTAACATAAGATGTTGTCTCCTTTTGGAATAAAGTAGACCCAAAGATTAATTCTTAAATAAAACTTGATAACAGCATGCAAGCCAGAGGGTTTTCATAGATTTGTATTTCTTAAAAAGAATTGTCACTCTGTTTTACACTCTAGTATTAAAAGTCATTATACCAAAACTTTGATAACAATAAGATCTCATTCTTCTAAATTTTCAATGACTTTTACAGGTAGACTAGAGTTTACTATTCCCTGTACCTAACTGAATAGGTTTAATAGTTATACCTTGTCATGGTTCAATTGTTTTGCTTATGTGCTATTTGTACTTTATTGAAATATCATCTTGGCTATCTTTCATTCTTAACTTCTTATTCTTATCTTTCCTATCACTACATAAAAAAAAAAAGAAAAAAAAGAAAGAAAAACTTATTTATTTCATGATCAATTTTAGGAGAGATAACACTTGAAATCTTTTTATACATCAACACTGAAAATTTCTTTTTTATTGAATTTTTGTCACTTTATGAATTTTATGCCTTTTTTTCCTGATCTTTACTTTTTTAAATTTTAGTTTTGACTTTTAAAGTTTTGGCTTTTTAAAAGAGTTTGTGCTAAAATAAATTTTAGTTCTGGCTTTTAAAAGCTGAAAACAACATTTTTAACAATAAAGCATGTACACAAAATAAGTGTGAAAGTTGAAAAACAACTAAATAAAGGTACTCATCAACTTTTATTTAGAACTAAGTATTACTTTTAATACAATAATAAAAGAAAAGAAAATACTTAAAAGAACTGAATTTCTTCCTGTGGGCATCTAATAAAATTTTGAACTTTTGTTTTGGTGATATCCATAAGCTTGCACACAGAACAACAATCAAAACTATTTGATATTTTTTAAATGAAATTTTCAAATTTTTAACAATTGTGCATAGCTTTATTTTTCAATAAATACTTACCCATTACTTTGCAATAATTTTCAATTCTGAGCAGTTTGGATGATTTGTTATTTTAGAGATAACATTCATGTTATTTTGCCATATGACCATCCCATAGCCAGTTTGCTATAATGAGGTAATGAGGTAAGCAACGTTTTTGTAAACACTCTTTAACATGTATTTTAACAGAAAGTGTAAAATCAGAAATGTAGGATACTGATTTTTTTGTCATACCTGCAAATAGTTTGCCAAATCAACGCATTTTTAGCAAACTTATCTTGTTTTGTATATGTAAGTTTTTTGATGGTCATACTTTATATAAGTTTTATTATCTTTAATAATTTAGAAATTTTTAGAAATATACTTTTCATAAAAATTTCTTCAGAACGGCCAGGCACTTTTGTGATTTGAAAGCTTAAAAAACATGTTTATTTCGAACTTTTACAACCAAACTATAGGAAAATTTTTATCTGTTTGCCTGTTCTGCGGATTATTTATAAAACTGTTACCATATTTGCATTTAATCAATTTTGTTTAGGAAAAACGTTAAATAACATGACTAATGGTCTAGGGATTTATTTGCAACTTTGTTGCTATTGAATTGCAGCTTCTATTTGGATGTTTCAAATATTTGTGCAAAATATTTTTTCTTATGTCTTTTTCTTTTTTCATTTTTAAAACTTATTTTAAGTTAAATGGGAAACTAAAACATTTTTTTGAAATTGTTATACGTTGCCAAACAAAATACAAACACAATTAAAAATATATTAATACAACCACTTAAAAAAAATGTTGTGTTTATTCTTTCACATATATTTCATGTACATGCTTTAAATTGAAAAATAAATAAATAATATTTAATTTCACATATATTTCATGTACATGCTTTAAATTGAAAAATAAATAAATAAATATATATATATATATATATATATATATATATATATATATATATATATATATATATATATATATATATATATATATATATACATACATATATATATATATATATATATATATATATATATATATATATATATATATATATATATATATATATATATATATATATATATATATATATATATATATATATATATATATATATATATATATATATATATAGTAAAAAAAATTTAGTTAATAGAAAAAAAACCAAAAAGAATTCAGTTAATCATCAGTGTGTAGCATCTAAAACAATTGGAAATGTAACATTAGTTGGTGGAGTAAAAGCTGGAAATTTTACAGACCTTGGATCTGTTTCAAATATGGAAGATTGTAAAGACAGATGCTGTAATTTAGAGGAATGTCAAGTTGCCTTTCTCATTGACGATAGTTGTTATGCAGTAAAATGTGCTAGTCCTCAGTTATGCCAACCACGTAGGGCAAAATCAACTGCACTTTATCCTCAATTATTATATATTAAAAATCGAATCAGTAAGAAACTTTCATAATTCTTTTTTTAAATGATAATTAATAATATAAAATATTATTTTAAATAATTAAAATAATAGTTAAATAGGTTTTAACTTTTAATAGTTTTTATATTTTTGTTAGAATGGTTTTAAAAATTTATTTTAAATATTTTTATTTTTAGAGCTACCGTTTTTAAGTGAAACCACAGATCCTAACATTAATCCATCAGAATCTGATATTCAAGCACATAAACTATGTCCTCATGATGAAAAACTTGTCAATGTTACTTTAGTAGGAGGCATTAAATCAGGAAATTTCACATCTCACGGAACAGTGCAAAACTTTGAAGAATGTCTCCAGTATTGTTGTCTTATGAATAATTGCGATCTAGCATTTATGGTGAAACAAACTTGTTTTTCTTTAAAATGTGCAAACTCTGAGGTGTGCACTGTACGACCAGCAAGACCATCTGTTTACAATCCTACTGTCGCTTTTATTAAAAGAAATAAAGCACAAACCATTTCAACATTTAAAGCTCCTACAGTGTCAAGTATTTATCAAATATTTATTTTTTATTTTAGGCTTTTTTTTGTTTGAAATTTAAATGATTCATAGCACATGCATACATACCAAGATCCATTAGGGTGATTCAAAAGACAACAATTAAAAAAAAAAAAAATCGCCCCCCACTCTCTAAAATAACACCTGGTTGAAAAAATATTTAAACTAAAAAAATAGAGGTTTCATAAGACTCTCAAGCATTTAACTCGTCTCTAACTTTATCTAAAAAAAGTGCTTCAGCCTATGTCTCAAATGAATTGAAATTATATGATTTTAGAAATGATAATTATTATAAAAAAAAAAAAATATTTAAAAAATATATAGCCAAAAAAACTTGTAAAAATGGATTTTATTTTGCAAATTTTTGTTAAAAAACATCTTTTTTATGCATTAAAGCAAAATATTTATTATTATTTTATTATTATTAATTTTTTATTTTGATTACTATTTTTGAAATTTTGAAAAGATTTCTGTTCATTTGAGACCCAGTAGTTTTTAAACAATTTTTTTCAGAATTACTTTTATTCAAAAATTTTCAGTTGTTTTATTATATAAAACACATTTAGGGAGGGGGGATATAGTATTTTTAATTTTTTTTTGAAGACCCTAAGACATACATACATATATACAAACAAACATGCATATATGCATACATTTAAATATATTAGGATGCATCTAACACCCCCTACTTTCAAAAAGAGATCTTCATTGATTAATAAATCTTTTAATTGATTCTTATATGCAACTCTGTTAACTTTTTCTAAAGTAAAAAACTGAGTTTAGGAGGCCATCTCAAGTCTGAATTTTGCAATGCCACCCTAGATGCAGGAAAAAAAAACCAACATAAAATACTTATAAAAAGTTGATTAAAAAGTAATGTTGAGTCTCAAAAGTAGCAAAATTTTATAAAAATTTTAAAATGTTTTTACAACATTTTATTTAACTTGCTTTCTTGTTGGTTTATTTTTCTGGTGTCTGCGCAAAACAAACACGAGGTCAACAGTAATAAGAAAAAAAATTGTTAAAAGAAGTATTTAAAACAAACAACGAAAAACAGACTTTAGTTTAGCATAAATAAAAGAAATCGTTAAGCAAAGTAATTAGAACAAACAATAAACAATAAACAAAGTTTAGTTTAGCGTAAATAAATTGAATCGCTGTTGAGTAATAAAAAAAATATATAAAAAAATCTTTTTTTTAAAAACAATATTTTAAAAATAGACTAAAAAGTAAAAAATTAACTATTTCACGGGACCCAAGGACTTTGTATACATACACAACCTGAAATATCCATTAAAGTCAATAACAAATGTTGGGCATCAATAGAAACAAGTTGAGTTAGTTATAGAAACGAGTTGTACTTAGTTACCCTACATTTTCAGTCATTGACTTTCCTGAATATTTCAGGTTGTGTACGTACACAAAGTCCTTGGGTCCCGTGAAATAGTTTATTTTTTACTTTTTAGTCCGTTTTTAAATGTTGTTTTTAAAAAGATTTTAATATATTTTTTTTGAAATCATTCTATAAAAATAACTATTTTGGATTTTAATGCATAGAAAATTTTATAAAAATAAAAAAAATGCAATTTAACAAGAATTTTGATTATAGTTAGTTTTTTCTGATGTTTTTATAAAATAATTATTATTTTATATATGATTAATTTTGAAATTTTATATAATTTTTCTTTTTTTGAAACCCAACATTACATACTTTTTAATAAACTTTTTTTAAAGTGTCATGTTGGATTTTTACTAAAAGTTTTTACTTTTTTTACTTTAAAATAATTACTTTTTCAAAAAATGATGATTATTTTTGAAATTTTATATATAAGTTTGCTTTATTTGAGAACCAACATTATATACTTTTAAGAAACTTTTTTAAGGTCATTAAGGTCATGTTGTGAAATTCAGACTTGAAGTGCCCCCCCCCCCCCCCTAAATCCAATTTGCATTTTTCAAAAAATTGAAAAAAAAAACAGTAAAAAAATTTTAAAATAAAGCCTGATCTTTTTTTGAAAGTAGGAGCATTAAATGCACCTTTAATTTTTCCCATAATAACCATTGTTTTTATTTAGTTTTGAAAAAGTTAAAAAAAAAGACTGAAAAAAGTTTAAAAATTTATTAAGGAATTTTTTTAATAATTAATAGACTGCCTGCCCAAAACTTTCTAGTCAATAAATATTTGTGTGTGTAATATACACAAACTCACACACATTTTTTACTTTATTGTATTTTATTCTTATCATTACAGAAGTACCTGCTTTAATGCCAAAAGTATTACCAATAGAAAGCAATAAAGCAGCATGTAAGGACATGAGGTTGTCAAAAGTTCATCATGGCGTTACACTTAGTGGAGGCATAAATGCAGGAGAGTTTACAGATAAAGGTCATGTGGAAACAATGGATGAATGTGTTGAAAGGTGCTGTAGCTCTGATTCTTGCAATGTGGCTTTTGTTATAAAAGACACTTGTTTTGCAGTTAAATGTAAGTCTTACAATGACTGCAATCTGAAGTCTGCAATGTCTGAGTACTACAATCCTAGAATTGTGTTTGTTAATTGGAGTCCTCCAAAAGATTTAGGTGAATCAGGTAAAGTTTCAATTTGGTTTTAAAAATAGATTAAAATAGTTTTTAATAAAATATGTTTATTTTTCATACTATTTTATTGGTTACTTCAAACTTTTACTTGATGGTTACTTCAACTTTTTTCTTGATGGTGGCTTCAAACTTTTTCTTAATGGTTACTTCAACCTTTTTCTTGATGGCCACCATCAAAAAAATAAATAAATCTATTAAAAATAGATTAAAATAGTATTTAATAAAATATGTTTATTTTTCATACTATTTTATTGGTTACTTCAAACTTTTTCTTGATGGTGGCTTCAACCTTTTTCTTGATGGTGGTTTTAAACTTGTTCTTAATGGTTAATTTCTTTTTCCATAAAACTGATGGATTCTTTCTTCTTTTTTTAAATAAAATCAGCTTGAAAGTTCAGAAAATTAATTTTTGAAACAAAATTATTTATAAAATGTTTTATATATATTTATAAATTTTTATAAATATGTTTATTAATATAATATCTATTTATTTATGAATTCATTTATATTATTTATAAATTTTAATAAATAAATATTACTGATTTTACTTATTTGTTATTCTGCAATATAAAAAAACAAAATCTGAAAGTTTTACAAACAAGTTGCAATAAGAACAAAACATACATTTATTGATAGGTGTTTAAAAATGCTTATCAAAGATTAATAATTATAAGAATAACTAACAGAATAAATTGCCTGCAAAATTTACAAGCACAATAAATAATTTCATAGTAAAAATGATAAAAAGAACCTTTATACACTAGTATAGTTTATTTTTACATGATAAGTTTTAAACGAAGACCAAAAGTCAACACGATACATGATAAGTTTCAAAACAAGAGCAAAACTTCTTCCTCTAGTTAAGTCAGAGGATTTTGTTGTCAGCGACATGGATTCGTACTCTCAGCCTCCTCGTTTTTTAACATTACCATTGGTGCTAGACATTTGTTAAAACTCAAACAAGTAGTAAAGTAACTTTTTTTGCTGAGTTGATAATTTTTTATTTTTAGCAGAATTTCACAGCATGAGCACAAAGCTCACATTTCATTTTATTTCACATCTCTCATTATTTCACAGCATGAGCACAAAGCTCACATTTCATTTTATTTCACATTTCTTATTATTTCACAGCATGATCACAAAGCTCACATTTCATTTTATTTCACATTTCTCATTATTTCACAGCATCAACACAAAGCTCACATTTCTTTTTATTTCACATTTCTCATTATTTCACAGCATGAGCACAAAGCCTTTATACTGAACTGAATACTTTGAATCCTTGATGTTTACATACCACAGTGCCATTCACTAATAAGCAAATAGATTAATACTTATTTAATAACTGTGTAATTAATTATATATCTATATTAAAAAGGTGTGACTGAAATCTTTTCTACACACTTTTAAATATATTTTACTATATTTGACATTATTAATTGTATTAATTGAAATTTCCATATTTATTATATAATTCAATATTTTATATTTTAATTATGAATAAGAATCTTAGTTTATTTTTTACTTTTTTGTTTCAGTTCCATACTTGTATGAGGGGTGTTGGCACGATTTTGACATATCTGCATTTGCACTTCCACTTTTAGAAGGTACTAGTCCCATACTAAACACTCTATATAAGAAAAGACAAGATCCAGTAAACGATTGTTCTAGTGTTTCACAGAGTCGCGGCTATAAAGGTATTTATGTAAAAATGTTCAGTCAGCATATACCCATGCTTTATTTATATTATTTATATAAATATTATTAATTTAGATCCTAGTTATAGTATATTTCTTAAGTATTTAAAACTTAAATATTAGTTATATATTTATATATAGTTGTAAAATAATTGTATTTTAGCTAAAAATTTTAGTATAAAAATTTGTATTATTCTTGCTTTCTCAATATCTAACATAAAATAGCATTGCTATAAACTCTAAAAATATTTTTAACTATTGCCACTTAATTAAATAAAAGAATGAGTGAAATATTTGAATGAAGAAATATTTTCAATATAAATTATCTTTTTACTAAATTTACATTGTTTTTTTTTTATATTTTTGTTTTCAATTTATCATTATTTATTTTCCCATTTTTTTTTTTTAGTTTTTGCCATTCAAAATGGAGGAGCTTGTTTTAGCGGTCCAAATGCAGAACAAACATATAAACGTTATGGTAAATCTGATGCATGCAAAGAAGGAAAAGGAGGTCCATTTGCAAACAGTGTTTACAAATTATTTGATGATGGTATTTTACTTTTTTTCTAAAGTTTAAATAAGAAATATATATAGGAGATGTATTTTTTATTATAACAAAATATGTGTTTACATATATTTTATTATGATGTAACATACAGAATATCTAATTAAATATATGTTTACATATATTTAATTATATAAGAAATATATTTACTATTTCTGGTAATAATATTTCTCACAATAAATTTAGTATTTCTGCTTATTAATTTTAATGTACCTTATGTTAGTATTTATAAGGATTGATTAAAACTGTTTATTTACGATTACTAATAATTAAAGAACTCTTGTATTTTTGTAAAAATTGTATTAAAATTCTTGATTAATTTTAGTTATAAATTTTATTTACATATCTAGAGCAATATTGAACAGTTTTACATAAAAAATACTTCAGTTAAAATAGAATCAATGAGGCAAACATTTCATAAAATGCAAAATTTAACTGTTTTATAAAAAATATACAATCAAAAGTGTTAAAGATCAAACCTTAAAATAGCACTAAGGTAATACTAAGGTAGCACTTTAATGACTTTTGGTACAAGTAACAAAACTTTGAAAGTAGTTAATTATTTTAAAGGCAAAAACTTTTAAATGCATCTTTTAAAGTTTACTTCATCAAGATTCACTCTTAATTAAAGTTTACAAATATTGACGATTTCAATATGAATAATAGACTCAAAAACATTTGTTATTATTATTAAATGCATTTGTTTTCTTTGCTGTTCGAATAAATGTTCTACTTTTGGATTCTTCAAGTATTCTGCTTTTGGATTCAGCAAAGCACAGACTCAGCGGATGCACTATTTGAACTCCTGTTTAGATATTGCATTTGCTGTACTTCTGTTACTAAGAATTTCCTTATTAAGAATAAAAGTTACAACCTTTTAGATATTCAGGTTACTTAAATTTATGTTCTTAATGTAGAGACCTCTGTAAACTCAAACATATGTTCAGACTGTAAGAATGATAATGGTTTGCTAAATTATTTGCAACAAACTTTTCCTATAAGTATTTATGCCCATTTTACATAAAGCACACCCAATTGGAGTATTATGAATAAGATGCTTGAAAATTGAATATAAACTGATGTTATTTGTTGATAAATATAAGTGGTATTTTATCATAACTGAAATCCAGCAGTAACCTTTTAATTTGTTCAGTAAAATATTAACTTCATACAAAATCTTCAAATTCAAAAAAAGTTATTTTATCAGTAAGATAGAAATCTTCAAGGTCGTGTTAAAATAACAATTTCTTGTTATTTTATTAAATTGAAATAATTTTTAAATAAAATAGTTTTATATTAATTAATCAAACTATATTAATTAGTAATAGGATATTTAGCACAATTTTTTCTTTGTTTTTAATTTTTGTTTCCTTTTTCTGCACTTGAATATTTTTGTGGAATGATTTTTCTACTTTTTTAAAAATTTCCCTACTTTTGAGACCTTTTTTTCTTTTGTTCAGAAAATTTATTTAAGGAACTTTTTTTTCCCATTTAATATTTGTAGTAAAATATTTTATATATAATTAAAATAAAAATATTTCATTTATAATTTTATATTTAAATAGGATCCGTTATTGCTCTTGGATGCTGGGCAGATTTGCAAGATCGATCATTTCGTAGAATGGAGTCAAATGACCCATTACTTTTTGACAGCTTTGAATCGCGCGCTGATCCAATTGGAACTTGTGCTAGAGTGGCCACAAAAATGAAAATTAAGTATTTTGCAATGCAAAAAGGTGGCCAATGTTTTGTAGCAAAAGACAAACAGAAAGTTAACTATAATAGGTACTCACCTTCTCGGAAATGTAAATATGGTTTAGGAGGGCCCATGGCTAATGATGTGTATATGCTGAAGCTTAGTAAGTTTGTACACATATTGAATATTAAATTTGTTTTTCTTTGGGTGCTTGTTTACTTAACAATTTTATATTTTTAGTAAACCAAGTTATTTAATTTATTATTGGATGGTTAAATTATTTCATAATGGTTACTTATAATTGAAAGTTAATAGCCTTATAACTATATAGTTGCTTAAATTTCATTAAATCTCAATTAGCTATTAGAAATATAGGAGTAAGTTGTTAATAATTGAACATTTTAAATTTATATTTTATAATGAATCATTAGTATTTTAAATTCAGTTTTAATAATTAACCCTAAAATCCTGTCCTAAAGTTGGCACAGCCATCTCTACATTTTTCTAAATGCAGCAAAATATGTCTACAATGTATAATGTAGTTTACTATTAATTAGTTTAAATGCAGTAAAATATGTATATAATGTATAATTCAGTTTACTATTATTTAGTTTAAACGCGGTAAAATATATCTATAATGTATAATTTAGTTAACTATTATTTAGTTTAAATGCAGTAAAATATATCTATAATGTAAAATTTAGTTAACTATTATTTAGTTTAAATGCAGTAAAATATATCTATAATGTATAATTAAGTTTACTTCAATCAGAATGAATGAGTCTATTAATCTTAATCTTAAATTGTTTCTATGGTAATCTAAATATACATATCTAAATATCTAAATATACATATCTAAATATAATGATTTTGTACTGTTTAAACTTTGCTGGGTTTAGTAACCAAGGGTTAAATTAAAGGTTGTATAATGGCAGACTCTAACAACTAAAGGGTGTACTAAAGATTGTATAATGACAGACTTTAGGGGTAAAGACTTTAATTAAATTAATTTTAAAATGATAATTTCAGAATTGCAAAAATTATTTATCATGAATCTATGATATGGATAATGAGGGATTTATCTCAAAATCATTATATAAAAAATCTTCTTGAAGTTTAGTTAGAAAGAAAATCCTCCTTTGCGGAAGTAGACTATAAGATAGTCGATGCATTTACTGAAGCCTAATCATTTTTGAAACGAGTTGTCTAACCATTTTCAAGATTAATGAATGATTTTTCATTTCAGTCAGATAAATTTGAGATAAGTTCATTTATCAAGGAATTATTTATTGAAATAGGTATGCTTTTTCATAAACTCTCTCTCTCTCTCTCTCCTATATATATATATATATATATATATATATATATATATATATATATATATATATATATATATATATATATATATATATATATATATATATATATATATATATATATATATATATATATATATATATATATATATATATATATATATATATATATATTAATGTTTATTCACCTCCCCAAATCCAAAAAGGCCACTACAGACGAGGAAGCTACTTAATTTGGTTATAACCCTCTCTAAACTCTATAACTCCAAAACGCGAACCTTGACAAACAAGGCTGCTGCGCGGAGAAACAAGTTGAGCATGGTACTACCAGAGACGTAGTGGGGATCAAACTCAGAAACTCACGCCTATAAAGCGAGTGCTCAACCACTACACCACAGCCACATTAATATATGTAATAATATAAAACATAATAATATTTAAAATAAATAGGTTTATTAAAAAAAAAAATTTAATTAAATGAATAAATGTTTATAACTACTTAATTACTAACTTAGTTTTTGTTCCTGTGTAGACTTTACAGATAATCCAGATGTAATAAACAAGACTAAAGTTCAACTCCCTCAAGACGATATTTTTCCTGGTGAAACTGTATACAAAGAAGAAATAGCCGGAAATCATTATATTCGTTATCTTTACAAGGCAACTCCACCAATGAATAATGTAACTCTTGCATCTGCAATAAATGCTGGAACTTTTGAAGATAAAGGAAAAATGGATACAATAAGTGAATGTATTAAAGCATGTGGAGTTTCACCAGATTGTAATGTTGCCTTTATGCTTAGTTCACAATGTTTTAATGTTCATTGTTTTTCTGATGAAACTTGCAGAACTAAGCCTGCATATTCCACAATATATAAACCAGAACTTTCATATATAAAACATAGGGTTATAAGAAAACCTAGGAATAAAAGTAATTTTAACTTTTTTCATTTATTTTTATTTTTTATTTATATACATATTTAAATCCTTTCTCCCTCTTTCTCTATCTATCTAGATATATGCATATATATATATATATATATATATATATATATATATATATATATATATATATATGTATATAGATATAGATAGATAGATAGATAGCAAAAGTTAATTTATTTTAAAGCGCATTAGTTACTTTAAAATTATCATGTATCAAAACAAATTCATTTTATTTAAACTTTATGGACTTATTGAGTTACAATATTGCGCGGTTAAACAAATCCTTTGGAGTCTTTTTGTGTTTTTTTAAATATTTTTTATTAACTTATTGTTGCTAATATATTGATAATTATAAATATTAATATAATAAAAGACATGGCGGTTAATAAATAGTAAAGTATTTCAGTTGATAAATAACATTTAATTCAGCCAATAAATGTACACTTAAATACGTTTAAAAAATAACATTTTTACTTTATATGCCTACTAGTAGGAACATAAAGTAATTAAGTATAGCACTAGGCTGTGGCTTTAATTAAATAAAATTAATTAATAAAAATAAAATATTTGCCTTCATTGGCTTTACTTCACTTCTCACAATAAATATTATTTACAAGTGTAAAAGATTGTTAAAAACAAGCGCTACAGGCACCCATGAATTTTCTAGTATATATATATATATATATATATATATATATATATATATATATATATATATATATATATATATATATATATATATATATATATATATATATATATATATATATATATATATATATATATATATATATATATATATATATATATGTATTAGGGTGTCCCAAAAAATAACATTTTAGAAAAATATATGCTGCCACCCCTTTAATGTGTTCTATATGATAAAAAACACTAGTTTTCAAATTTTTTTGAATAAATAACATTTTTAGGGGTTCCTCAAGACTCTTGAACATATAATGAGTTTCTAATATTATCAAAAAAAAATTCTGTTGGTCTCAAATGTAGTGAAATCATACGAAAACTTATTAAAAAAAATATTGTTGAAAAAATTGGTAAAAGGGCACTTTTTTTTAATTAATAAACTTCATTTTTTATGCTTTTAAATTATATGCTTAAGGGGTCTTGAGGGACCTTTAAAAATATCTTTTATTCAAAAAAAAAAAAAAAAAAAAACATTTTTTTAACCATATAGAAGGGGGTGGCAGCATATATTTTTCAAAAATGTTTTTTTTTGGGACAATTTTCAATTAATTAATATATTTTAAAAAATTAATACTTATTCAATATTAAAACAAAACATGATGAGTTAAATTGTATTTTTAAGCTGAAATTGCTGTCAAAGACAAAACATGCAAAGCGATATCTGAGCATACCAATGTAACATTTATTGCTGGTATCAATGCAGGAAACTTTTCTGATATGGGTCATACTACTACTATGGATGATTGCAAAGCAAGATGCTGTCATGACAAAGACTGCAACATTGCTTTTAAAATTGAAGATGATTGTTATGGAGTTCGATGTTACAACAAAGCTAGTTGTCAGATGAGACCTGCTAAAAATGCTTACTTATTCAATCCTCAAATGGCAGTTATTCGAAAAATTAATGATTCATTGGAACAAGCTGTGGAAGAAAGTTAGTATTTTTTTTTATGGAATTTAATTTTGCATTTAATAATTTAATACTGAAGTTAAAACAAATAGATCTTTGTTACCATTCTTAATTTACACTCATTAATTGCTTGGCTATAAATATTAAAAGTGTTTTTGTTGTAAGATTTCCAAGATTACTTATGTTGTAAAAATTTATTTCATTATTATGTTCATATTATTTTTTACTATTGCAACTAACAGAAAATTATTTAAAAAAAAGAAAAACTTTTAAAAATATATATTATTATTTCATTATTATGTTCATATTATTTAAAATATTAATTAAAAATCTTATTCATTTTTATTTTATTAAAAGACTTTACAACTTTACAAAACTTTTCTCATAAAAACAACACAGACACAAACGAGCTTGAAAAGTATTTTTGGAGGCGCTGCTACTGGTTTAAAAACTTTAATTATTGAAATGTTAAAAACATAGATTTCTAGTTTTTATTTCACGTTTGATAGAATAGTTTTTTTGAATAGATTTAGCTTTTAATATTTTTGAATGGATTAGTAGAAAATTAAGTATTTAAAAGAAAAAAGGCTAACTATAAAGATGACCTGTTACAATGAGAATTGAAAGTTTTTTTGTTTTTTGTTTTCTTCTGCTAATGACTTTAGTTTGAATGAGCCAAGACAAACATATATCAGCAACACTATTAATCAAAACAAACATATATCAATAACACTATTAACAGATACAACAGATTACACAAATCTTCTGAAGTATTATACAAACCAATACTGGGTTAAACACTCTAATAGACCTTTCTCAAAAAAACACAACAGACAAAAACGAACTGCAATTAATGTTTTTCTAAATAAATTTTTATGTTATTCATATCCATTTCCAGACATAACATCTCCTTTGGTTTCACTCAAGATTGAATTGACAACTACCGTTTCTCCTCAAACCACGTCTTCTCTTTCAACTACTATGAAGAAATGTAGTGGAGATTTATGGGATGAAGAAGTGGTAAGAAATAGTACTTTAGTAGGTGGAATAAATGCTGGCACTTTTCGTGATCATGGTCAAGTGGATAGCATTGGGGAATGCATGGAGTATTGCTGCAGTGAAAGTGACTGTGATTTGAGCTTTATGATAGACCAGGATTGCTATACAGTCAAATGTTATAGCGAAAGTGTATGTTTAACTAGAAAAGCGAAACCTACTGCATTTACTACTTTAATTGCATATAAGAAAGCATATAAAATAGGTATGCATTTTATTAACAGAACATTTAATCTTTCAATTGAATTTTAAGACATTTTTGAAATTTAACGCATGTTTTTCAAAATAAATTTATTGAGTTGTTAGCTACTTAAAACTATGATAGTTTTTATAAATGTAGTTGCTCTGAATGTTTGTGCAGGTAGTTGATCTGATATCTTCACATATGATCATACTCAGAAATAAAAAGTTTTGTTTACTTTTTTAAAATTTGTATTTTCAGCAATAAGGAAAGCCAATCTTACTACTCTCCTAAAGGTTTATAAGTATCCAAGCCCTGAAAAAGAGTTATCTTCTGATATTGCCTATGCGTCATTAAAATCCGAGTTGTTACATCCTACTATTCTTGATATGAATAGGTTAACAAATGTAACGGAGATCAGTTTGGTAGAATACATCAATAGTTTGCTGAATGGTATGATTAAAGTTCACAGAACACACATATAACATACGCACACAAAACTAAACAAATTTAAAAAGTACACTAGAAATATACTTTTGGATATAAACTTCTGATTTACGTATTTACACAAAACTAACAAGTGAATATTATCAAACATAGTGTGTTGTGTATAACTTTAGCATACAAACAGTGTACAAATATTTATAAAATTACTACCTTAGAACTTCTCCTACAAATTTTACTGTTTTCTAAAATCTAAAACATGCCTTATTGTATTTAAGACAACATTAGTTGTATTTAAGACAACATCAACTGTATTTAAGACAACATCAGTTGTATTTAAGACAACATCAGTTGTATTTAAGACAACATCAGTTATTGAAATTAAAAATAATAAAAACAAGGTTTGTTAAATTTTTTTTAAGAACTTGATTTTAGTTTACTGTTTTAAAATGATATAAATTGAAAAATAAAATTCAATATGACAGGTATAAATCAGGTGATTGGATTTGTTAAAGACACACTAACTGAACTTGCAGACGATAAAGGAAGTATTGAGAAAACATTTCGTATACTTTACAATGGACTTAGTACAACTCCAACTGCCCCAACTGTGACAATACATAAATATCGTACTATCATACCTAGACCAAAAACAGGTTAGTGACTTTGACTGAACATACAAAAATTTTACTTTGATAATTAAGAATGACGGAAGTTTTTTTTGTTTTTGAAATAAAATTGTAAAATATTTTTAATTAAACTAAAATATAACTACAAAAAAAATAAATACAAATTTAAAAAATTAACAGATAAATAAAATTCATACGGAGTAATTATAGGAGAAGTTTTTAAGAAAATAATAAATATTTAAAAAAATTATAAAAAAAAACTAATTAAAAAAAAAAAGGAAAAAACGTTGTTCCTGTTTAAAGCTGGTATTGGTAACAGTATTGCAAAGCACAGTACAAAAATCATTGCAATAACTATTGAGCAGATAAAAGGTTGAACTGAGAGTTTTACAAGACAA